CTGTTAATCATAGAGTGGGGGTAGTGGATACATTGGCTTATGATGTCGTGTTGGGAAGGGAGTTCCCCCAATTTTTAGACTTGTGGGGGTCTCCAGGAAAAGTAGTTCATGATTGTATAGCAAAAGATGATGATTCTGGAAATGTGTTCCCTTTTTCTGACATAGAATGGGAAGGACTAGGCATAAGACCAGAGAAGGCTGAAGCCTCAAGTCACAGGCCAGCTTTAATAGCAGATGACATGGGCCACGATAGTCAGGAGTCCGATAACGATCAGAATCAAGGCATTAACTTCCCTGAATTAGAAATCCGTCCTGTTAACTTCAGGGAAGCACAATGGGAAGACCCCACTCTTGAAGATGCCCGTAAAAATATCCAGGTTTCAACTGATGATCCAGTACAACTAGATAGAGCCCCTTCTTTTCCTTACTTTGAGGTACAGAATGATTTAATATATAGAGTAGAGAAAAGGGGGATGGATGTTGTAAAACAACTACTTGTTCCTAAGACCTTCAGACATACAGTCCTAAATCGTGCACACAGCCATATACTTGGGGGGGCATTTAGGCATAGAAAAGACAAAAGAAAGAGTCTTACAGAGGTTTTATTGGCCTGGGGTGTTTGTTTCAGTTGTAAATTATTGTTCTTCTTGTCCTGAATGCCAACACACCGCCCCTTTTAAGGCACACCGCAGTCCTCTGGAACCATTGCCAATAATAGAAATACCTTTTGAGAGGATTGCAATGGACTTGGTAGGTCCTCTGGTAAAGTCTGCAAGGGGGCATCAGTATATACTGGTGATTCTGGATTATGCTACCAAGTACCCGGAAGCAGTACCCCTACATAACACGTCTGCAAAGACAATAGCGAGAGAACTCATGCTCATGTTTAGCCGGGTGGGCATACCAAAATAAATTTTGACAGATCAGGGTACACCATTTATGTCTAAAGTTACAAAGGAATTATGCAAACTACTTCAAATTAAACATTTTAGGACCTCTGTTTATCATCCCAAGACAGACGGACTCGTAGAACGGTTTAACAAGACCTTAAAAAGTATGTTAAGGAAAGTAATTGAAAAAGATGGTAAGAATTGGGACTGCTTACTACCCTATCTAATGTTCTCCATAAGGGAGGTGCCACAGGCTTCCACTGGCTTCTCTCCTTTTGAGCTTCTATATGCCCATCATCCCAGAGGCTTGCTAGATATAGCAAAAGAAACCTGGGAACAGGAGTCCAATCCATACCGTAGTGTAATTGAGTACATAGCTCAAATGCAAGATAGGATGGCGGCTGTCGTGCCAATAGTTAAAGAACATATGCAGAAAGCCCAAGAGGCCCAGAAAAACAGTTATAATAAAAATGCCAGACAGAGTTTTTCACCCAGGAGACAAGGTAATTGTTTTGGTCCCTACATTAGAAAAAATTTCTAGCATCTTGGCATGGCCCATATGAGGTTATTGAACAGGTTGGGGAAGTTAATTATGAAGTGAGACAACCCAATAGGAGGAAACCCGAGCAAATATATCATATAAATTTACTAAAACCCTGGAAGGACCGAGAGGTCTTAACTACTTCAATTGTCACTAATAAGACTGGTAGTGAACTTGAAGTAAATATACCAGACACCCTGTCCCCCCACCAGAAACAGGAAGTAAGGGACTTTTATGTTAGAAACCGGGATGTATTTTCTGTAGTTCCGGGAAGGACTAATGTTATCAAGCATGATATTGTTACAGAACCAGGGATGAAGATAAGTCTTAAACCGTACAGAATCCCAGAAGCACAGAAAGAGGCTGTAGCTGCCGAAATTAAGAAAATGTTAGATCTTGATATTATTGAGGAATCACGAAGAGAGTGGAACAGCCCTATAGTACTGGTGCCGAAACCTGATGGCTCGTTAAGATTCTGTAATGATTTTCGTAAATTAAATAGTGTGTCAAAGTTTGATGCTTATCCAATGCATAGGGTTGATGAACTAATAGAGAGACTGGATAAGGCTCGGTACCGGACTACTTTAGACCTAACGAAGGGTTATTGGCCAGTACCTCTTACAGACAGAGCAAAAGAAAAGGCAGCTTTTTCGACATCAGGGGGATTATTCCAATACAAGGTGCTACCATTTGGGTTACATGGGGCCCCTGCCACTTTTCAAAGACTGATTGATAGGATTTTGAAGCCTCACAGCCGTTATGCGGCCGCATACTTAGATGACTTAGTCATTCACAGTTCTGACTGGGCTTCACATCTTCCCAAAGTGCAGGCAGTACTGGACTCTATCCGCCTAGCTGGTTAACTGCTAACCCAAGAGTACTATAGGTTTGGAAGAGGCAAAATATCTGGGTTATTCGATTGGGAGAGGACTAGTTAAGCCCCAAACAGCAAAAGTGGAGGCCATACAAAATTGGCCACGCCCCCTCACTAAAAAGCAAGTCAGGACTTTCTTAGGACTTATTGGGTAATACAGGCGATTTATTCCAGGTTTTGCGACATTAGCAGCTCCTTTAATGGATCTCACAAAAGCAAAAGCCCCACTAGTGGTTAAGTGGTCATTAGAGGCAATAAAATCATTTGTTTTTTTTTTTATACAATTTACTCTTTTATTTTATCTTTTTCAAATAATAAGGGATACAGAAAGAAAAAAAGGGAAGGAAAAACAACCAAACAAGGTCACTTGTCTCTGTACATATCATCGATAGCATATAGTTCATCACTTTATATATGCCTAAATTCCAAGATATAACCTATTTTATATAGTTCATGTATCTTAAATTATATACAGTAAATTACAGTAATAACTAATATACATATTCACAAAATATTTTTTCCTCTCTCCTTTCTTTCCCCTTCTCCCTCCCTCTCCTCTTCTTTATCCTTTTACTTTTCTTCTAAACTAACCCTTATATTGTCTACATTGCTTTAGCCACTAATAGTGACAGTTATCACTCTAAAGAATATCCCCTTACCAATCATGCCAAAAAAAAACCAAAAAACAAAAACAAAAACAAAAAAGCAGGGTAGGGGGAGAGTGTTAACCTAGCTTAATTTATAAAGTTATTTTCTTCCATAACTAATTAAATGATTAAATGAGATCATCTATATGTTGATTATAGTCAGCAAAATGTATTCCGTATAGAGGCCTCTAGGTTTATCTAAATATTCCAGAGTTTAATTAGTATGTGATAGTAAATATATCCGCCACATTTGGTCTATACCAGGGCTTGATTTCCCTATTTTCATTTGATTCCATATTAACAATTCATGTTCCACTGTTGAGGTCATTAATTCTTCAATTTCTCGTCGAGAAGGTAAAACCTTGGTCTTCCATTGTCTAGCAATTAATATAGATGCTGTACTTAATAAGAGAAAAATAATTTTCTTGATTAATTTTGGTAAATTACTTGGAAGTAGTCGTAACAATATAGTTTTAGGATCTTGGGATAGTTCAATATTTGTCACATGTTTTATCATCTTTATAACATCATTCCATAAGGAATTAACTGCTTTGCATGACCACCAGACATGTAACATAGTACCTTTAGCTTTATGACATCTCCAGCACTGGTTTGTGTAAGAATATTAAATAGTTAACTTGTTTATATGTATTTTATGCTTTTATAAGGTTTATAACATGATTATTGCTGACTGAAGGAATATTGAATACTTAAAAGTCAATGTACGACATAATATGCTGACTGTGACAGACTAAGGTATTTCTTCTATAGGATGTAAGACAATGCTAAATTTCAGGATGTCTTGCCCATTCCGATTTTAAGGATATTCTTTTCCAGACGTATGCAAAAGCTTATCTTTCCATTGTCAGAATAACGTAATACAAGGAAGTAATAAATCTTATAGTCTGTACTGTATTTGCATATACCATGGCTAATGTAAGCAAACTATGTATAAAAGCCAGCTCTGGAATACACTCATTTGAGAGTCTTGTAAAGCTGTTGTCCGTGTGTTATTGCTTACAAATGATTCTCCATCAACATTGATTATGGTGACCGAGGGATCGAGAACCGAGGGGATTAGAGTCCATTACAACATTAACCCTTTCAGCTTGGTGTCTAGAAGTGGGATAGAAGAAGTTGGATCAGCAAAACCATTGCGGTGAGTAGCCTTTTTGTGTCTTATTTGACGCTGATTGTCTATGACCCCCTTTGGTTCAGTAAGACTGTATCCAGTAGATAGGAAAGGTGTAAGGACTCTAGTTATATTGAGACTATAAGAGGTCTCCGGTTTATTAGACATTTGGTCTAAATATATATAGGGGTTCTTGGTAACCCAGGTTAGTATCTAAGATAGATACAGGTTTTTGAGACCATAAGAGGTCTCCGGTTTATTATAGGGTTTTGGTAACCCAGGTTAGTATCTAAGATAGATACAGGGTATCTCAGGTAGATACAGGTTTTTGAGACCATAAGAGGTCTCCGGTTTATTAAGTCTATAGGTGTTCTGAGCAGCACGGTTTGTAGATCTATAAGTATAACCCAAACTTCTCTTTCTCCCGGTCACCTTTGTTTGTCTTAAGTGTTTTTTTGTGGGTTATTGTTTGTCTATATTGGGGACACACTTTGGTAAGTTAGTAGTGTCCCCACTCTGAGTCAGCAGTATGGGAAATGTGAGTTCATGTCCTGAGTGACCAATATATGTATGTGTATATATGTGTGTGTATATGTATATATGTGTATATGTATGTATATATGTGTGTGTATATGTATATGTGTATATATAAGATAGCAGTACTTTTAAACAAATGGAGGTTTTAAAAATACATAGGGATTAAGGAGAGAACGCAGGTAACTTGTTTTTCTTTGGTTTTTACCATATATTGGGGCTGATGTGTACTGTAGTCCTTGCTGCTGCCCAGTAGTGATGGGAGTGAGCGCAGGACTTATCTTTCTGCAAGATAGCAGTACTGTATATTAGAAAAGAAATGACTCACAGGTTGTACCTGATAGACCTACTTAAATCTTTTTGCTTTATTCTTTCTGTCGCATAGAAGTATAAGTTTATTACTCTGTTTTATTGTAAGTTATTTCACATGGGAACTGTGTGCCTGGAATGATTGTTGCTTTAAAAATACTATAAGCCCACTACACTTATTATGAGAGTGGGATAGTGTAAATGTGTTGCATTGATTGCATGATGAGCTCAGTATATTTTATAACTGAGACAAAAAGTCACTTCATTAGTATTTGAAAGTTAATTCCCCGTATGGGATTAATTGTATAGAAACACCAATCAGCACATCTTCCCTGCCCTGTGTGTTTGTTGCAAAGGATCCATACTGTAAATATGATTTTTGTTTGAAAATAAGAGAGCAACATTTACATTTTCAGCGGTCCAACACATGCTTTATTTTGCACTGTAAACTAACCTTTTTATTGCAACAGGTTCCTTTTAAATGATCCAGTGTAATAACTACTGCTTGTGTCTTCTATGTCTCACATTATGTGTTATTTTAAATTGTGGTATATAGCCTGAATCAGACATCATGGACAAAGGTTTTTACCTGTGTTACTAAGGGCTCTTGGAGACTGACCGGTCTAAAGGTTTGCCATGCCTTTAAAACATGGTATAGTATAAATTTTTTAAGTCTCTGAGAGTTCTGAAAGATTCAGGTGAAACCATGTCTGTTTAATCTGGTCCAGATGTTTGTTCAATTTCTGTAAGATTTAAGTTGATGCAGCATCATCTCAGATTAGTTAATGGAAGTTTTATACAAATAGTTGAGTTATGAGCGCGCTATATAAATGGATCCTTTCTTTAAATACAATACTATAGTAGATTAAAGTAATGAAGTTAATTAAGAAAATGTACACATAAGAATCCCTAAAATAAATCTAAACTAAAATTGGTATACCTTCCAATAATATGTTCTGAATACAGCTGTTAACTGTTTATTTTGTGTAAATGGTGATTGTGATAATGTGTGAAGTGTGCAGTTTAACTTGAAAGTGGTTTAATTTATGTTGCTGTATTGTTTTAAATTATATGTGAATCAGTTTGTCACAGTCTAGTGATACTGATAAGAATGACAGCCAAATAACCTAGCAAATAACTGTTTTATTAGTTGTTGAATACTAGCGTTTTGGCCAAGAATAGTTGGAGATTTGGAGGTGTTAGTTTAAGATTGCTTTTATATTGTGTCTATCCGTGTTTCCTAGGAGGGAGACAGAGTGTGTAGTTGTGTGCCCATAAATGTGATTTCTGTATTGGCATATCTGCTGGGTACCCATTATGTGTTTTTACAAAAATATTGTTTTGTGAGATGACGTGTAATATTACATTGGATGCTGAGTATGAGTTATATGGTTTGAAATGAATTGGTGATTATGAGTTTAGTACTTCAGTAAGATGTGCTAAAATTTGGAACAAGGTGGAAGCTGAAATGTTGGGATTATGGAAGAATAAGCAGTCTATATTCACTGCTTTGGCATATAAGCAGGATGCAAAGGAAGAGATTGGTAATATGATTTTTGTAAAGAAATTTTACAAGTGTTGGAAGGATGAGGCAGGTTTGATGTCTGGAGATGATATAGATCTTTTTAAAATACAGTCATGCCTTGGTAATATGTTGCCACAGTATTCTTTGCTTGTGAAACAATTGATCTCAGACTGGGCCAATTTGGATAGCTCAGATTTTCTTACCAAGGTTATAGAAAAGGAAAATGCAGGTTGTTTTGAATTAAGAAAAGATTTAGGAAAGTAAGGTTGCTTATTATGCTCCGGGATTGCCACCTACACAGGCTGAGAGCGAGGATGGGATGGGTGGTCAAAGAGGGGAAAGGGGATGGAGACAGGGAAATCAGGGTTATAGGGGCAGGGGTAACCAAGGAGGAATAGACAGGAACACTTGTTTCAACTGTGGCCAATATGGCCACTGGAGGAATGAGTGTCCACACCCCAGGAAACCCCAGGAAACCCCACACACCCCAACAACCCCACAATTCTCAAAATATGCCCGGTAGGCAAGAACAACACCAGACCCACTCCCAACACCACTGGCCAGCATATCGCTTAGTTCAGGACTTTAGAGCCCTGAATAGTTTAATTGTGCCCATTTCACCCATTGTCCCTGATGTGACATCCCTCATTACAGCCATTCCACATGATGCCACTTGCTTCACTGTCATTGATTTAAGTAATACATTTTTTTCTATACCTATTGATCAAGAGACACAGCTACTTATGGTTTTTACTTTTTGAAGGCTGTCAGTTTACCTGGACACGCTTACCCAAGGCTATGTGGATTCCCCAGCTGTTTATTCGCTGGTACTCCAACATACTCTAAAAAAAACATGGACCATCGGTCATGGTTCCGTCCTTTTTGCAAAATGTTGATGATTTGTTGTTATGTAGCCCTAGCTATGAGGCAAGCACTGTGGATACTGTCAGCAACTGTAGGTCACAAGGTTGTTAAACACAAAATGCAATTGTGTAAATCAAAGGTTGAATACTTAGGTTTTGTTCTGGCTTTAGGCACCAGACAATTGAGTCCAAAATGTATTGAGGTCATTCAGAGGATTCCTACACCCACTACTCGGAAGGAGTTGCTCACCTTCCTCGGCATGATTAATTACTGCCACCAATGGATCCCTGAATGCTCCCATTATAACTCAATCCTAAGGGAGGCTGTACGTTCTGACAGCCCTGAAAATGTCTGCTGGTCACCAGACATGCTAGCTGCATATATTGCCCTTACAGTTGTTATTGTGCAAGCCCAGGCTTTAGGACTACCTGTGTATTGTAAACCATTTCATTTGTATGCTTGGGACAATTGTAAAACCATGGCCGCGGTCTGTGCACAAGAGCAAGGAGGCGGTATGCGTCCCATAGCATTCTTTTCCAAAGTAGTTCGAGCTCCGGTACAGGGTATGCCGGCGTGTCTCAGAGCATTGATAGCATGTGCAATGGCTGTTGAAACTGCTACTACTATCACACTAGGGCATCCTACAATACTTCATGCCAGTCACCAGGTCACTCAGCTGATAACAAATCTCACCACACAACACATGACAGCCCAGCGCTTCAGTGGTTATGAGATTCTTTTTTTTTTTTTAAATACCCACAATCTGTTTTTTGGATTAAACAAGGTTTAGAGAAAGATCAAAATGATCTGTTCTCTAAAGAGGGGAGAATAGGCATACTTGAAGAATAGGCATACTTGAAGCAAGCTGATTTATTTTCATCAGTCAGGCACATAGCAAGCACCATTCAATTCCTCATGAATTCATTTTATATTAGGAATCTCAGGCAGCATGTACAGTCTTTTGTAAGTTTGTGTGAACGCTGCTCTTTTTACACACTTACAGATTGATTTTATTCATGTATCCAAAATTGGTAAGAAACAGCAATACTTACTGGTCATAGTTAATCAGTTTAGTAGATGGCATGAGGCCTTTGTGATATCTAGGGAAGATTCTAGTGAAGTTTATTGTTACTGAAATTATTCCCAGGTATGGCTGCCCTCTGCAGATTGGCTCTGATAATGGCCCGGTTTTTGCCAGTAAGGTTGCCCAGGAACTTGCTAAATTCTTGCAAGTTACCTGGCAGTTTCATATACCCTATCATCCACAGAATACAGGGGTAGTTGAAAGGATGAATAGGACTATTAAGGAAAAGCCCAGAATTTACCCAGGAACATGGGTAAATTGGACTAGATATCTATCAGCTATTTTAGCTGAGATAAGAATGAATCCCCACAAGGTGACTAAATTATCTCCATCTGAGATTTTTGATGGGATGACCTTTTCCCACACCCTGGGCCAGGGAACCGCTTGTTATAATGTCAGGGGATTTACAGCTTATACAAGAACAATATGTACAGGAATTGTTGATAAAACCGAATGGTATGTATGACAATGTTTCTTCGCAGTTTTCCCTTACCTTCACAGGAACCTACTCATTCATACCAGCCCGGTGACAAGGTGTATATCCGTCAGCTGAACAGGACCAAGAAAGGAGGATACCCTTTTGGACCACCTGCTACTGTGATTGCTGTACCCAGAACCGCTGTCCACAGATTCCCACGACATCTGGATTTACGCATCCCGAGTGAAGCTGTGTCCAAAGAGGGGAACCAAGGAAGACAACACCACTCCTCGCTCGGAAACAGAAGAATTTCTCCTCAGCGAAGCATCATGGCTTTTACACCATATCGTAGATTGAGAGGATCATACGTACCTGAGACCAAGATTATGTTGTGTGCTATGCTTTCTGGAGTTGTTATACTCCCTCTGATATTGTTCCTTGAATGCCATTATGAGTACAAGTCAATGGCAAGTTCTGTAAAAAGACTCTGACATGATGAACAATTCTTCAATACCCCCAGCCCAATTAGGCCTTAGCCCCTCATCTAGCATTCGTCACACACGCCCCCTCAAGAACCTTTCTCCACCACCTTTCTATCAGCATGCAATATGCAATCATTCATTCACTGAACGCATCTGGATGAATTGGACAAATAGTAACCCTTATAAGTACCAGTTACCCATATGGAATGTGTCTACAGCTAATGAAACCGATGCATTATGTTTGTTTAAAGGTTCACAGAAAATTGTTAGATCTTATAACGCAGAAATGTGCACAGTTAAGGTTGCATATCAATGTAAACAGACAGGCCTTATTACTTTTAATAATGATTATATAACTGGTATCATTAATTGGAGAAGGGGACAAATGTTAGTCATTATGAACAACACTACAATTGAGAACTATACACTACCTTATATTTTTACACCTTATTACTGTCCTTTATCCTCTACCATAGAACCAAAAGTCAACAACGACACACACACACCTATTCCGTCCACATGTATTAATACAACTGCCTTCTTACAAGCTGTACATGTGTCATTAAAAATCACTACTCCTGTTGTAACATTATGTAACACAGCAAACAAAGGCAGAAAAGGGAATGGTATGACACACTGCTAGGAGGTGCTGGAACCACTATGGGTATACTAAATAGTTATAGATATGGAGACCCTCAAGAATAAGTTAAACACAGCCAGCATGCATATAGGGACTGGTTTTCATGCTACTGCAAATTGGGCTCCAATTGTTGTTAAATCACAGGTTACAGGATTGGATTTAGATAAATCAATGTATAATTATTTAGATAATTTAACTGTTGCAACTATGAAATTCACCACAGATCTCGGTAACTGGAGTACTTGTGCCATCAGGTATTTATGGATACAACAACAAGGATTGGCATTAGAAAACACACTAATGATTCCTAAACTAGAGAAGATTAGAGGAAAGCGTAACCTCACAGATAATGAATGGTTACTTCTAAAACCCCAATCCAGTAAATGCAATGGATGGTTAACTGGTAATGTTTCACATTTTTCATGCTCATGCTATTTTACATTATATCATACAACATCAAAGGATGTTAAATTAGCTTGTCAATTTAACACATTACCAGTACCAGTTTATGATCTCCAAGAATTTAACCTGGTGGGCACCCACATACACAGGGGACTATATTTTTCCCAAAGATAACACACACAGGTAGCCACACATATCCTAAAAGGAGAACTCCTTAAGGTGAGTTCACAAATTCAGAATGATTTAGCCCATCATTGGTACGATGCTTCACTGGTTGGTCCCCTACTGGATCTCAGATAATGAAATCATTCTTCTATCATTTTGTTATTATAGTCCTGATTTTATTGTGTATGATTTTATATAACTGTCACTTTACTTGTACATTGAGGAAGAGAGTACAGAAATTAATCCATAATGCAGAACAGAAACAATTAGAAATTCTCCTCTCTGCCACTGTAGAGTATCAACCCATTTTTAAACTGGGCCTTAGGAATTACCACATGGGAATCGAGGTGAAGAAATTAATGAAAGTCCCGCAGGGAGTGACTAGCACCCCTGAAAATACCATGTGGAAGTTTCTCTGTCCTGGTAAGATTTTATCGATAAGATGAGCAATTGTTTTATTGCTCAAAGAGGGGAATGTAAGAATATTAAATAGTTAACTTGTTTATATGTATTTTATGCTTTTATAAGGTTTATAACATGATTATTGCTGACTGAAGGAATATTGAATACTTAAAAGTCAATGTACGACATAATATGCTGACTGTGACAGACTAAGGTATTTCTTCTATAGGATGTAAGACAATGCTAAATTTCAGGATGTCTTGCCCATTCCGATTTTAAGGATATTCTTTTCCAGACGTATGCAAAAGCTTATCTTTCCATTGTCAGAATAACGTAATACAAGGAAGTAATAAATCTTATAGTCTGTACTGTATTTGCATATACCATGGCTAATGTAAGCAAACTATGTATAAAAGCCAGCTCTGGAATACACTCATTTGAGAGTCTTGTAAAGCTGTTGTCCGTGTGTTATTGCTTACAAATGATTCTCCATCAACGTTGATTATGGTGACCGAGGGATCGAGAACCGAGGGGATTAGAGTCCATTACAACATTAACCCTTTCAGTTTGACGTTAAGGGGAACATAGAATTTAAACGTGTTGGTACTAAGTACCACCTATAGAGAATTTTCCGTGCTCTCTCAAGATGGGCGGTACTGGTAGTTAGCCCTATATGGGCCATAAACATTTGTTTCCATTCCGTCAGGGGAATGTTAACTTTTAAATCTTCTTGCCAATCTTGCATAAATTTCCAATTACTCTGCTCAACAGGGTTAGCCAATTTTTGATAACAAATAGACAATGTCTTTTTCGGAGGACGTAACGATAAGCATTGTTTTTCAAATTCTGTTATGGAAGCTTGAAGCGTTAATTCTGCTGTTGAAATCTTATTTATGGTTACCATCGCTTTAATTTGGAGATAAGCAAATATAAAATTTGAGGGTAATGAAAATTCTTCTTGCAATGCTGGAAAAGATTTAAGGCCCTTTATACTGCATAAATGAAATAAATGTGTAATACCTGCCCTTTCCCATTTCTGATAAGGAAACGTACCATTACAGTAAAATAAAATTTTAATTGGGGTTGCAAGGGCCCATGGAAATGCTGAACATATTTTGTCTCTACAAGTGTCCCAGATTTTGAGAAAATGTTTAGTTAAAGGTAACATATTCTCAATTTTTTGTCTCATTTGATACGGTTTCCAAAGTGTTTTTGAAAGGTCTTGTGTTTCACAATAATTACTTTCTATTGCTACCCATTGTGGGGAATAATCCTTTGAATGAACACTAATAACATTCCTTAAAATAGCTGAATGATAATATGCTTTTATATTTGGTATTCCCATTCCACCATTCATCACAGATCTCAAAAGTAAAGCTTTAGGTACTCTCGGGTGTTTACCACCCCAGCTGAAACGTACAATGGATGCTTGAAGAGACAGTAAATACTTTTGCGGAAGTTTAATATGCAGTGCTCTAAAAAGATATAAAATCTTTGGTAGAATTGACATTTTAAACGCTGCGATCTTTCCCATCCAAGATAAGAACAGATGTTTCCATGAATCCAATTGTTTATCAATTTCTTTCAGAAGCTTTGTGTAGTTAGCTGAGAAGAGCTCTTTCTCTTTATTAGTTATTCTGACACCTAAGAAAATTAAATAATCTTCTCTCCAATCTTCTCTCCAATCATACTGATAGCTTATTTTTAATCTGTCTTCCATTGCCTTCGTAGTATTAAGACACATAGCTTGCGTTTTTACAATATTAAGTTTATAGTATGATTGTTGGCTGTATAATTGCAGTTCTTTATGCAGAGAGGGGAGTGTGATAAGTGGTTGTGTTATTGTAAGAAATACATCGTCAGCAAATAAGCTAAGTTTATACTCCTTATTGCCTACTAACACACCATGGATATTACCATTTCTCCGTATTGATATTGCAAGAGGTTCCAAAGCTAACACATAGAGAAGTGGGGATAATGGGCATCCCTGATGGGTCCAATTAGTGATTGAAAAAGCTTGCGACTGAAAACCTGCGTACAATACTGTTGCTGAAGGTACACTGTATAAAGCTCTAACTGCAGAAAGAAAAAAGGATGGGAATCCATAGGCCAATAAGGTTTCCTGAAGGAATAACCAATTCAAGCGATCAAAGGCCTTTTCGGCGTCAAGGGATATCATGATGCTTTCCTGTTTAGTGCGGTTTAGGATTCCCTGTAAATCTAACACTTTCCGAATATTATCTGGTCCTTGTCTGCCCATCACAAATCCTACTTGGTCTGTATGTATTAATGTCGGTATAATATTACTGAGTCTTTCTGCAAAAATCTTCGCATAAAGTTTAGCATCAACATTTAATAAAGATATTGGTCTAAAATTTTGACACGTTGTTAATGATTTCCCAGGCTTAGGAATGGTGACTATATGACAGGAACTCCGTCGGGAAGGAACCCAATCTAGTAGCGCTATTAAAAAATTTAGTAAGGGCTGAAATTAATTCATTTTTAAATGTAGCATAGTATACACTAGTATACCCATCTGGGCCTGGTGTTTTCCCTTTTGGCATAATTTCAATTAGATGCATCACTTCATCTGTAGTGATAGGTGCACATAATTTTTCTAGATGTTCTGGTGTTATTTGGGGAAGGGCAATATTTGCCAGATATGAACGTATAGATAAATATGTAGGTTGGGATTGAGTATTGTGCTCTTTCAAATTATATAGAGTCGTATAGTAATGTGCAAATTCGTTACATATCTGTAGCGGTTGCATAATTTTATGACCTTCTTGCGTCTTTATGAATGAAATTCTTGCTTGTGCTTGTTTATTCTTCAATCTTTGAGCCAAAACTTTAGTTGCCCTATTTCCCATCAAATAGGATGTTGCCTTCAATTTCTTTATTGCTAGATTAGCTTTCCTAGAATGAACTGCATTAATCTCTTCACACACTTCCAAAAGTTGCTGTTGAAGAGCTTGAGTAGATTTTGCTTGATTTTCTCTATGAAGATCCTGTAGTTTTTTAAGAAGAGTAATCGATGTTGTATGATTTGTTTCATTTGTAACTTTGAAAGAAGATTTGTGCACCCAACCGGTTCTGGTAACCCCGGATTTCACTAAAGAATTTATTGTGCAAACCGATGCATCAGAGATTGGGCTAGGGGCAGTTCTGTCTAAGGAAATTCAGGGTGAACAACACCCAGTGTTTTATTTAAGTAGGAAGCTGACTCCCGCTGAGAAAAAAAATATTCTATAGTGGAAAAAGAATGCCTTGCCATAAAATGGGCCTTAGACTCATTAAAATATTATCTGCTGGGTAGAAAATTTAGGTTGGTCACAGACACAGC